GAATCCAAAAAGCTTCTTCGCTTATGTCAAAAAGCGCTGCGGTTTGAACATATCAATTCCAGTATTGATGCGTGATGACGGTACCCATGCGCATACGCACTGCGACAAGGCCTGCGTACGTAGTGGGCATTATGCAGCAGCGTTTGTAAGGGAAACCTCTTTGCCAAGCGTTGAGCTGGGTTGCGAGATCCCAGGGGGTTCAGGACTATCTGAATTTATTGTAGCCTTGACGGAATTTTATAGGCTGTTACAAGGGCTGAACCCCTCTAAGGCCTCGGGGACTGATTTAATTAACCCGAAAGTGTTGCATGACTTACCTTCGAGACTAAGTGGACCGCTCACTATAGTGTTTCAGAAATTGCTTGAGAGCTGTGCATTACCTTCAAATGGAAGGAAGCTGTCATCAGGTGTCACCAGGTGTCAATAACACCTAAGGAATGCTCGGCTCAATTTCGAAAAAGGGTTAGCAGATGAAGCTTTAGAAAATTCAAAAGATTCTTCGCATATGTCAAAAGGCTCTGCGGTTCGAACATATCAATTCCAGTATTGATGCGTGATGACGGTACTCATGCGCATACGCACTGCGACAAGGCCTGCGTACTTAGTGGGCACTATGCAGCAGCGTTTGTAAGGGAAACCTCTTTGCCAAGCGTTGAGCTGGGTTGCGAGATCCCAGGGGGTTCAGGACTATCTGAATTTATTGTAGCCTTGACGGAAGTTTATAGGCTGTTACAAGGGCTGAACCCCTCTAAGGCCTCGGGGTCTGATTTAATTAACCCGAAAGTGTTGCATGACTTACCTTCGAGACTAAGTGGACCGCTCACTATAGTGTTTCAGAAATTGCTTGAGAGCTGTGCATTACCTTCAAATGGAAGGAAGCTGTCATCTGTCCCATCTTCAAAAATGGGGATAGGAGTCTGCCTGCAAATTACAGGCCAGTTAGTCTGAGGAGTGTAGTAGTCATACTCCTCGAGAATCTGGTAAGAGATTCATTGGAGAGTCATCTGAGTAGGTTTGATCTACTTAGCATTGTACAACACGGATTCCGGAAGGGATTTACGTGTCTGACGTATCTACTGGTGGCTCGCGAAAGTTGGGCGAATACAGTGGATAATGGCCACGCACTGGACGTGCTTCACGTCGACTTTCGAAGGCATTTGACAAGGTAACCGATTTGAGGCTGACGCAAAGGCTGACGCTACGGGGTATCTGGCCGCGCCCTTCATTGGGTGACTGCCTTCTTGGAGGGTAGAGAACAGTGTGTACGGGTAGGCGGTGGCCTATCGTTTAGGCAGTTTGTCCTCAGCAACGTGCTGCAGGGCTCGGTCCTTGGACCGCTGTTGTTCTCTATCTGTGTGAATGACCTACCCGCGAAGCTTGAGGTACCATCGTTGCTATTTGTTGATGACCTGAAGCTGCAACCATTGTTGATGTTCCTGGGGTTCCGAAGCTTTTCAGCGAGCATTGTGTATGCTTTGGGACTGGTCTACTTTATGGTTACTGTCCATAAATCAGGCAAAGTGCTCCGTTCTTCGAATTGGAGGAGGTTGTCCTCCTGCGACGTACTTGGTCGGTGGGGTCGAACTCCCCCGCGTATCTAGCCAGGTTGACCTAGGCATCGTACACTCTTCGGCCTTACACTCTTGCGATAACTGGAAAAAGGCCGCAGCAGAGGTTTCCGCATGTTGTGGTTAATACGACGTTCTTGAAGGGCGGCATCTTTACGAGACTGTGCTCGGCTTTCGTTCGGCGTCATCTGGAATACTGCGTCCATGCTTGTCCGTCCTGCCTCGTCCGGGACAAAATGGAGCTAGAGAGGGCTATACGAGTGGGTACTAGGTTAGTCGAGGGATTACGGGGACGGACTTACCCCGAGCGTCTATTTAGTTAGGGAATGCATCCAATGCACTACTGCAGACTTAGAGGAGACCTTATGCTAATCTACCATGTCTTAACTCGGAAGGTTGGTCCAGATTTATCTTTGCTATTCGGTCCCGCTAGATTGTCTATTCTACGCGGTATTCGTTGAAGCTGGACAAACCAGGGTCCGATCGGATTAGGGCGGAAATCTGGCTGTCACGCCGAGTCATCGAGCGTTGGAACATGCTTCCGGAAAGTGTTATCAGGGAATCTACGGTAAGGAGGTTTGAGCGGCAACTTGACGCTCTTGGGTGGCAACACGAAACCTTTCCATTTTCCTGAGTAACTCGCATCTTCGTACTTCGATTTTCTTTTCTCTACTTTTCTTCACGTATTGGTATTATTTTCTTATTTAAGTGTACTTCCTTATTCTGTACCTTCGATTTCTCTTCCTATCCTCTGCTTAATTTAAGTGACTGTCACAGCAGGGATTGCTAGGGCAGGAAACGTGGCCATTAGCTGGTTGGCCAGGGTGCGATACGGGTGTTTCCCTTTTAGATCCATCAAAAACTGAGCACTTCATCAACTCCTGTCTCAACGATCCACTCAAGATGGAACACCCACGGGATTCTCCTATCGTTCCAGTCCCCATCTGAACTGAACTGAACTACCGTATTTTGACTGGGAAGATTGGCCCTGATTTGTCCATGCTATTTAGTCCTGCTATATTATCTGATTTTCGCGGACATTGTATGAAGCTGGACAAACCGCGGTCCGCTTGAGTTAGAGCGTAGACACGGTTATCACGTCGAGTTGACTAGCCTTGAACTTGTCCTTAGAGTACCTGAGGGTTCTTATTTAGCTGAGCTTACTGTGGTGGAAACGCAAGTCCTTAAACTGCTGCAAGAACTGAACCCTTCCAAAGCAGCTGGACCTGATTCAATTCACCCGAAGCTTCTGCATGAGTCGGCGGTGGAACTGAGTGGACCACTGACGATGGTGTTTCAGAAATCACTTGACAGCTGTACATTACCTTCCAAATGGAAGGCGGCCGTCATCTGTCCTATCTTCAAAAATGGCGACAGGAGGCTGTCAGCCGATTATAGGCCAGTTAGTCTGACTAGCGTCGTGGTCAAACTGCTTGAGAAGCTGGTGAGAGATTCGTTAGAATGTCACCTGAATAGATTTAATCTACTCAGTAGTGCACAACGTGGATTCCGGAAGGGGTTTTCGTGTTTGACGAATTTGTCGGTAGCTCGTGAAGCTTGGGCTGAGGCAGTGGACAATGGCCACGTGGTGGATGTGCTTTTCGTAGACTTCTGGAAAGCATTTAATAAGGTACCCCACTTGAGGCTATCACATAAGCTGAGGTCCTACGGCGTATCTGGCCGCGCCCTTCACTGGGTATCTGCGTTTTTGCAGGGAAGAGAGCAGCGTGTACGTGTGGGTCGCAGCTTATCCTTTAAGCAAGCGGTCCTTAGCGGTGTCCCACAGGGCTCGGTCCTTGGACCGATGCTGTTCTCCATCTACGTAAACGATCTCCCTGGATAGCTTGGGGTATCATCCCTATTGTTTGCTGATGACCTTAAGCGATGGAATGTTGTAAATGTTCCTGGGGGTTCTGAGGCCATACAGCATGCACTGGACAGACTCTGGGACTGGTTTACTTTGTGGCTACTGTCCACAAATCAGGCTAAGTGTTCCGTCCTTCGTATAGCAGCAACTTTCCGCCTTCGAGCTACGTACTCGGTGGGGTCGAACTTCCCCTTGTCTCTAACCAGGTAGACCTAGGTGTCGTTCATTCCTCGTCTTTGCATTCTGGGGACAACTGGAAGAAGGCCGCTAGTAGGGGTTTCAGAATGTTGTGGTTAATACGCCGTTCTTTCGGGGTCTTAACTGCCGACATATTTGTGAAGCTGTTCTCAGCTTTCGTCCGCCCCCATCTGGAATACTGCGTCCAGGCTTGCCCGCCCTGCCTTGTTCGGGACAAAATGGAGCTTGAGAGGGTTTTGAGAGTAGGTACCAACTTGGTCGAGGGCTTACGGGGGCAATCGTACCCCGAACGTCTACTTAGCTTGGGTATGTATTCAATGCACTATCGACGGCTTCGAGGAGACCTAATCCTTACTTACCGCATTTTAACAGGGAAGGTTGGACCGGACTTGAGCTGGCTATTTAGCCCGGCTAGATTGCCTTGTCTTCGCGGTCATCCCATGAAGCTACACAAGCCGCGTTCTGACGGGATCAGGGCGGAAACTCGGTTATCGCGTAGAGTTATCGAGCGCTGGAACTCGCTTCCCGAAAATGTAGTCAGTGAACCTACGCTGAAGGGTTTCGAGCGTCAGTTAGACGCTCTTGGGTGGCAACACAATACCTTTCCCTTTTCCTGACCATATCCATCCTCAAACTTTTAGTCCTTATTCTGTTATTCTCTTCACTCTTTGGTGTTATCCTTCATTTTAATGACATTCATTCCCCTTTATCTTCCATTTACTTTCTACTTCTTTCTTACTTCACGTAACCTACACAGCGGGGACTGCTAGTGCAGGGAACGTGGGCAGTAATTGGTTGATCAGGGTGTGTTTCGGGTGTTTCGTTTTAGATCAATCAAGAACTAGCACCTTATCATTTCCTGGCTCAACGATTTGCTCAAGAAGGAACACTCAAGGGATTTTCCTATCGTTCCAGTCCAACTGAATCTGAATCTGAGTCATCGAGCGCTGGAACCTGCTTCCAGAACGTGTTGTCAAGGGATCTACGGTTAAGGTGTTTGAGCGTCACTAGACGCTCTTGGGTGGCAACACGAAACCATTCCTTTTAATGACTAATTCCCATCTTTATACTTCGACTCTATTTTCTTTAATTTTCCTCGCCTTTGGTATTATTCTCTTCTTTTAACTGATTTCCCTTACTCTTTTACCTTCGCTTTTTCTTCCTCTCTTACTTACTTCACGTAACTGACATAGCTGGGACAGCTAATGTAAGGGACGTGGGCATTAAATTGGGGGACCAGGGTGTTTTTTCGGGTGTTTTCCTTTTAGACCCATCAAGAAGTCGGAGCACCCCTATCAACTCCTGGATCGACGACCCGCACAAGAAGGAACACTTACGGGATTCATCCTATCGTTCCAGTCCCACTTGAACTTGTACTGTGAGTACCACGCGGTAAGTCGATTTTTTGGCGTGCCTCACTGATCAGGATTTTTTAGCTACAATATTGTGGAAAACAGTGTTTGAATAAACACTTGAAACGGAATTTGACTATTATCAAATTTCCTCTGATCCAAGATATCTTGGATAGATTAAAGCGTTTCTTGTCAAAGCGTCTTTCTTGCAATTTGGCATCATTGGAGTATCATTGGAGTGGTAGAGAGCAGATAGGAAATCCTGTGTCAGCTCCATCACATCCCGTTCAGAGCAAGGATTGTGCGACATGCTGCGAGGCGGTATTCCGCAAGGGACCATTACGGTCGCATCGAAAACAGCAGGATCCTTGCATACTCAAGTTCAAGTTCAATTTGGACAAGAACGGTAGGAGAATTCCCATGTGTGTTCCTTCTTCAATGCGTCGTTGAACCAGGATGGAGTTCGCGGGAGCGGTTTGGAGCCGAGAGGAGCCAAATCAATACACACGAATCACATAACGGTCAACCAATCAATGCCCACGCGGCCTGCACTAGCAGTCCCCACTGTACCGGCCACGTGAATAGAATAAAGGTTAAGAGAAGGGAACCAACAAAAACAGAATAATGGTAATTGTAGTACAGGAGAGAATGTGTGGTTAAGACAATAATAGTAATAGATGTGAGGAGCCAAGGAAATACATGTAAAAGTTAAGAACTAAACGGAAAGGTCTGAAACTGTAACCCAAGGGCGTCGAGTCGATGTTCAAACTCCTTCACCGTCGGTGCTAACACTACTTCGCTGGGTAGTGCGTTCCATGAGTCGATGACCCTGCGTGACAACCGAACGTCAGCTCTAACGTGATCAGATCTAGGCTTATGCAACTTCAGAGGGTGACCACGAAGAGATGACATCTGAGCCGGCTGGAACAGTCCAGTTAGATCAGGCCCAATCTTGTTGGTCAATATACGGTACGTAAGAATCAGGTCTCCCCGAAGGCGCCTACAGTGCAGCGAAAACATCTGCAACCTGAGCAGCCTATCGGGATACGAGAGATGCCTCAATCCTTGTACCATTTTCGTACCAACCCTCAGAACTCGTTCAAGTGTCATCTTATCGCGTACCAAGCATGGAGGACAGGCCTGCACGCAGTACTCCAAGTATGGCCTGACGAAGGCTGAGAACAATATAACGAACATTTCATTTGTTATAATGCCGAATGACCTGCGGATCATCCACAGCATTCGGAAACCCTTACGGGTAGCATTTGTCCAGTTCTCGCTGGATTTGAAGTCAGAGGATAACGAGATACCCAAGTCAGTTTGTTCAGTCACTTGACGCAATACATTTCCGCCAAGTACGTAAGAAGTTGTGGGAGTGCTTGATCCTATGCGCAGGACCGAACACTTTGCAAGATTGACTGGCAGCTGCCACAATTCTGACCACTCCCAAAGCTTGTCCAGAGCTGTCTGTAAAGCCGTGGGCCCAACAGAACCGCTCACTGTATTCCAAAATTTTAAGTCATCCGCAAACATAAGGGATGGTACCTTAAGCTTCTCAGGGAGGTCATTGACATACAATGCAAACAGTAGAGGTCCGAGAACCGACCCTTGAGGAACACCACTCAGAACGGCTTGTCTGAAAGACAGCCCGGAACCCACTCGGACGCTCATCTGCCTTCCTTCCAGGAAAGCCGAAATCCACTTCAATACTTGGCCTGAAACGCCGTAGGATTCTAGTTTAAACAAAAGACGGCAATGCGGTACAGTGTCAAAGGCTTTAGAAAAGTCGATGAACAAAACATCCACCGCCTGTCCTTGGTCCACAGCCTCAGCCCAGCACTCTCGGGCTACCAACATGTTAGTCAAACAGGAGTGGCCTCTGCGGAAACCATGTTGAGACGGGTTGAGCAAACTGAACTTAGCTAAGTGCTTTTCCAGAGCATCTCTTACAAGCTTCTCTAATACTTTCACCAGTACGCTTGTTAGGCTAACCGGTCTATAATTTTCAGGTAAGTGCTTATCACCCTTTTTGAAAATAGGGCACACGATAGCATCTCTCCAGTCAGCAGGTAGGGAGCAGCTACGAAGAGACTTCTCAAAGATACACTTAATCGGTTTACACAGCAACCCAGCCAGCTCGTACAAAAGTTTGGGATGGAGGGCATCTATCCCGGCAGCTTTTGTGGGATTTAGGTCACGCAGGAGCTTGAGTACCTGAGCTTCCGAGATGGAAAGGTCCATCAGAAAGGAGTCTAAGGGTATCTTTGATTGCAATTGGATATTAGGCAATGGAGATTCATGAACAAACGACCTAGCATACTGTTCTGCAAGTAAGCAGGCCTTGGCCTGATCGGTTGATACTTCAGTGCCGTCAGGTCCAAAGAGCACAGGGATAGGCGGATTTGCATTGCATCTCCGTTTGACATAGCCAAAGAACCGTTTCGGGTTTGTTGATGCAGATCGAGCTAGCGCTAGTTCATATCTCAAGCGTGCGGCCCGCAGATGTTGTTTACATGCATTTCGCACGCTTCGGTAGCGATGATGGGTACTTTCTGAGGGAGCTGATACGTAAGTCCTCCAACACCTGGATCGCCTACTGAGCATCCTGCGCGCCTCAGAGTCAAACCAAGGGGGCTTTGCCCCTACTTTATTCCTCGCTGAGATTGGAATGTGGGGGAGGGAAATCTCGCAAAGAAAGGATTTGAACTTGTCCCAAGCAACCTGGACGGTGTCATCCTCTGACATGATACAGAGTTGATTTGCAGCCCTGGCCCTGATGGCTTGAAAATCAGCGCGCCAGATATTTGGCCTTCTGACCATACACTCTTCACGTCCCCGACTTAAGGCGCATTTGAATAAGAGGCAGACGTGATCACTAGAGCCCAAGGGAGCAGCATACACTACATCTCGTACAAAGTCCAGCGATTTCGCAAAGATGAGGTCTAAAATGGAAGGCTTTTGGCCCTCCATGAACCTAGTTGGGCTTTGTACAAACTGATGAAGGGATGCTTGTAAGGATAGGTCAAGGAGATCATTAGAAAAACGTCCAGTCGCCGCAGTGCAGAAATTGCGCCAATCCACCTCAGGAACATTAAAATCACCCATAACAAGACATCTATTTGTCGTATGAGTACGAATGAAATCAATGAGCCTGCTTGACGTACTTTCGGGGCTTCTGTATACTAACACAATTTTGAATTGCGTGAAAGAAGCGCAAACATCTACCGCAAGCGCCTCGGCAGTTACATCAGGGGAACTGAAAGAATATGTTCGTGAAATAGTCAAGGTGGATTTGACGTACAAAGCAACTCCACCTCCGCGACAGCATGAGGCGCGATCAGCTCGCAGAAGGGTATAACCAGGCAAACACATTTCACTGTCCAGGATATCGGAGAACAGCCACGTCTCAGTGAAAGCGAGTACGTCTGGCCGGGAACTTTCTACAAGAGTGCCAATCTCGCATATCTTGTTCCTCAGACTACGCACGTTGCTGAGGACTACTTTAAGCAAATTGGGATCGTGAGCCGGGGATCGGGTGCCACCAGAACGGGCTCTGAAAGGGCGGAAGTAGACCTCCGGCTCACCACCCGAAAACCCACCAATCGAAGACCAGTTTCACCCGCCTCGCGACGGGCTTTGAGGTCCTTTATGGCGGCCTTCAATTTCAACCTATCAGTCAATGGGAGGTCAGGTTGCATACTGACCCCAGAACCCTTGAGTTTAAAAGCGAAACGCAGAAGCGTATTACGCTCGTCCGGTGTTGAAAGAACCACTCTCAGTAAACGGGGTTTGACGCCCGAAGCATCGACCGGCACAGACCCAAGCCTAATGAGTTTCCGTACAGTTACGCCAGGAAACCCGGGCGGTAGCAGTTTAGAAATGCAAATCTTAAACCATTGCAGGTCAGCAAGCATTCGCTCCTTTGGAAGAGCTGCGGTGGACTCCGTGACATTCCTAAAGATGACACTGCTATCAGTGTAGGAGTCACTGCGGCGGGGGGTGCCTACTCCACGCGCCACAGTCATAGAATCATGCGACTGGGTGGCTGGTTGCTTGGATGCACTAGCTGCGTACGAAGAGTCTTTGGGAGGAGACACCGAAGGACTCAGTACTGAAGGCTCTGCAAGTGACGTGCTTACCTGATCCACTGTACACTCCGAGACTACCGCATTTTGCAAGTTTACAGTTTTCTTCTTCTTGCTCGGCTTACGTTTCGCTGGCAAGGTTCTTTCCAACTGTTCAGCGCCAACTAGCTCACAATCAGTTGCTGGATAGGGTGTTAAGTCGACTGAATCCGTTTGCGTGTTACTGTCCGCTAATTTCACCTGGGCGTGAACAACGGATGGTGTCAGACGATCTAGTAAACCTTCAACTTTCCCATCCAAAGTTGTCAGCAGCAAAGAAAACACTCGTTCCATATTTGTCAGTCTGGAAACGAGCGAATCGAAGCAGTCTTTCGTGGTTACAAAGCGCTCAGCTTTCAGCTTAAAACAATCTTCACAGCTATAAAGGAACCTCTCATTGCTTGCCAGGAGAGCATACTGATCAGCAGGCAAACCGGTGCATGCCTCATGGAACCATCTACCGCAAAGATCGCATTGCATACCACCCGACAAGTCGGTTACAGGTATACAGCATCTCTCTAAGCCGCATAGGTAAACTGAATCAGCTGTTTTAAGACCCGAAGGCACACCCACAACTTTTCTAACCATCTTGACAGCAATGAAGAAAAGGTAAGAACAACGAAAAGATGAGGACCGGCTTGCGAAGGCCTACAATGCAGACAGCGAGGGCAAAATCGGATAATACCGCAAGTAAAACGTACGCACTGATTTGAACTCAATATGATAAGATGATGCACTTTTTCCAGCAGCACAGTGACCACACGCGGTTTCGTGCAGGGAGTAGGAAGCCGTAACTCGACCGGAGACTCCACGGAGACTGTGTCGTGACAAAGGAAGGCACACAATGGATTCCGAGTATATTGGCACTTCCAAGTACTTTCAGAGTACAAGAAAATGTTATCAAACAAGGACTTCAGTAAAGAAAATCCCGAGCGATGAAACACGACAAGCACGACAAGCAGATAGGAGTCTAACAGTTTCTTAAAACTTTCCTCACATTGTGCACTAACGACCAGTTCAGGCAGGCTGTTCCATTCCTTTACCACTCGAGTTGATAGGGTGAAATCAGAATGAATCCGGACCCTCCTCGGCTTAAACAGTTTCCAAGAGTGACCCCATGTCGAGCTATCAGCGCAGAGCTGGAAGAACTCTTGCAGTTCACTCCCCATCTGTCCTCGCAATATCCGTCTGGTGTAAATCAGATCACCCCGACGTCGACGGTAGTCCAAGGAAAACATGTTCATCTGTCGAAGACGCTGAGTGTAAGGCAGGTCACGGAGCGCTGAGATGGATTTCGAGCCTCGTCGCTGAACTCTTTCAATCATAACACGTTCAGTCTTTGTAAAAGGGTAGGCCGCAGGCAAACCGTACTCGAGGATAGGGCGCACATGGGAAGAAAAAAGAAGTCTGAAGACCTCTGGAGTCATTCGGGAGAACGATCTCCTAATGGCACAGAACATCCTATTCGCAGCCGCTATCTTCCTCAGGGTGTCCTCGGTGGTACGCAGATCGGGAGATACGAGTATACCAAGGTCTTTCTCACAGGCAGCATTCCTGATCAAGAAACCACCAATGTGATAGGCGCCAAATGGGTCAGAAGAGCCGATCGGCAGGACAGAGCACTTCTCATGATTGATGGGTAAACGCCATTCCGAAGACCAGCTATGAAGCAGGTCTAGCTTCTCTTGCAGTCGGTCAGCGGCTTCAGGTGTTGGTACCTCCATCCATATCTTCAGGTCATCGGCATAAAGCAGACAATCGGTCTGGAGTACAGATGGAAGGTCATTAATGTAGACTTTAAACAGCTCGGGGCCAAGGACAGAGCCTTGTGGAACCCCACTGGTCATGGGAACGGAAGCGGAGTAGACCTCATTCACCTTCACTCGCATGCTACGGCCATCCAGAAAATCAGTGATCCATGAGAGAATCTCTCCAGAAACACCAATACTCCGAAGTTTAAACAGAAGCCGTTCGTGCGGTACTGTATCAAATGCCTTCTTGAAGTCGACGAAGACAACGTCTAAGCGATTTCCGGCATCTAATGACCTGGCCCACCTCTCTCTGGCAACGAGCAGGTTGGAAACACATGAGCGAGCTCGCCTGAAGCCATGCTGCGCAGAGGAAATGACATTCAAGCCGTCAAGGTGACTCTGAAGGGCTCGTTTGAGAATTCGTTCCATGACTTTACAAACTATAGATGTTAAGCAAATTGGTCGATAGTTTCCGGGGTCCTGACGATTTCCACCTTTATATATGGGCTTGACGGTGCCCATTTTCCAAGCAAGCGGGAGACGCCCCGCGTCAAGAGACCGCTGAAAAATTTGGCAAACAGGTACAGCGATGTACTCAGCTAGGGTTCTGAGAAACAAAGGGTGTAGCCCATCAGGACCTGGTGATGAGTTCGGATTTAGCTCGAAAAGAAGCTTGGCAACCAATTCGGGGCTGATTTCTAAGCGTTCTAAAGTACATGAAGGCGTAGACGCTAAATCACAGGTAAACGGTGGCTCAGTCGAGAAGACTGAGGAATACTGCAGGGCCAAGAGTCCGGCTTTTGCATCATCATCATGAAGAGTAGTATCATTTTCTTTGGAATACAACGCAGGTATTCCATTACCAGCTTTCGTACGTCTCCGCAAATAGGAGAACAGTAATTTGGGAGCGGTGGAAGATTCCTCAGCCAAGCGGCGCTCGTACTGTTGTCGCTTCTCTCGCTTTTTGAATGTGCAGATATTCCTGACCGCTTTGTAATCAAGGTAGTCCAGAGGCGATTGCGTAGTCTTGAACTTATCCCACAATTTGCGTCGACGGCGCATAAGGGATTTTAACTCTCGATCAATCCAGGGAGGGCCATTGGAAAAACGTTTCCCTTTGCAGAGTGGAACGACCTGAGTTATGAGGGACGTGAACTTGGAGTACAAGAGGGTCCAAGCGTCATCAACATCTAAGTGCTGAGGGATACTCCAGTCCATAGCGCCGGCAGCAGTTTTCAAACGGAGTGGATCAGCACGCCAGAAGTTCCGACGGCATACTCCCTGATCGTGAATGGTAAGACGCCGCATCCAACAAAGGGAAACTACGCAGTGGTCACTTCTCCCAAATGGTTGGAGGATAGTCAAGTCGGAAACATCCGACTGCGTCGGTGTGAGCACGAGGTCGAGGATGTGTGGCGATTGACCCGGACACATTCTGGTGGGCATTGTAACATGTTGAAACAGATGGCATGCAAGCACGGTTTCGAGGAAGACAGCATCAAAGGAGTTCGGGGGAAGATTGCAATGGAGCAAATCCCAGTCAATACTAGCAGTATTAAAGTCTCCCAATATCAGACAATCCTTGCCTCTACCGTGCATACTAATAGAGTCCAGCAAGCTAGCTCCAGAAGCCAAGGGGGCTCTGTAAACGACTCCAACCATAAGAGACTTGCATCCATCATGTATCCGACACCAAAGAAGTTCACACCCATCTTCATTGTCGCGTATGGCCTCAACCAGATGACCCCTGAGGTCCTCTTTCCAGTAAAGAATCACACCACCTCCGGACCTATTTCGAGAGCGATCCGCTCGAGCTAGATTATACCCCGGAATATGCACCTCTGAGTCGAGGATGTCCGAAAACAACCAAGTCTCTGTGAAAGCCATAAGATCTGGGTGATTTTCATAGGCAAAGTTCTGAATTTCATCAAGTTTGTTTCGTAGACTACGTACATTAGCAGATATCACCCTCAAACTATTCTTCGGTCTTACCGCCCGGGAGCGACAAAGATTGGCCTCCAGCGAATTCTCGGAGCTTTTTGAACTACACGAAAATCCACAATGTGGAGGTTCATCTCACCATTTTCCCGGCGTGCTCGTAGTTCTTCGACAGCTTTCTTCATTCGGATCCGATCCTCCGGACAGAGGTCCCGCAAAACATAAAAGGTTTCTCCCCTAAGACGTGGGGTCCGTCTGAGAATGCGGCGACACTCATCCTCACTCTGACAGACAATCTTGAGGGGACGAACTTTAGAAGAATCGTCTTGCTTTCTTCCGAGACGAAAAGCAGAGACAATATTGATCCCTTGTTCACCTTCATCAAAAAGGAGGGAGACCATTCGCCGCAGAAACTCTTGGTCGTCCAGGATCCTTTCAGCCGGGGAACCCTTGTTGGATTCAGGAGCATTCATGATAATCAAACAACGGTCACGAGAATGCGGTTTATTGTATTCAGTGGGTTGGGACATGGGAGGCATGCTGTTCTTGAGAACGTTTTCCAACTGGCTTACTCTATCGAGGACCAACTTTAGTTCAGAAGATTTCTTGGGTTTAGTCGTAGAATCACTCTTGGTTTTCTTCGCTCGCAGAGCTGCGCATGTACTAGCCGATGCTTGTTCTACATTCTCACTCACTACTGCCGCATATGTCTTTCTCCTGGACTCATGGCTGCCATCACTAAGTGTCAGAGGCTCCGATAGCGAAGACGAGGGGACGCGACTTCGTTTACCAGTGGAACTGGCTGAGTCAGAGGCCGAACGAGGCGATGAAGATACCGGCGGTTTAGCAGAGGTGCAGTTCTCAGTTTGAGTAGGAATGGATCGTGGGCTAAGTGCGTGGACTAAGTTCAGCACCCGTCTATCGCTCAATACAGTTCGACAAGAGTCACAATGGAAACTGATAGCTGAGGAGGTGGTCCTCTGGAGGTAATCATAAAGATCTGGACTGATGTCGCAGCAGGCAATGTGTAGCCACCCATCACAGAGAGAGCATTGCACAGCCTTCGATCTTGCGGTAACGCCTTTACCACAATCCAAGCATTTGGACGCCATCGTGCCTTGTGCTTGACAAATTCCAAATATTTAGCAGTCGAATCTCCAGGTAAATGAAGTTCGAACACCTTCCTTTGCCAAAAGATCCAAAGAGAAACGGAGCACCAGGAACATTCGGTGCAGACTTTCTTGAACTGACTCTCCAAGTGCCTTTGAACCAGTTCGTGGCCTTTCCCACTAGGTTTATGGAATACCAAATACCATCTACATTAGATTTGGTTTTCGCTAAGTCCCTCGACTTCGTGACTGATACACAAGCTCGAAAGAGTACAACACAGCCACACGGCTCATTTCCGGTCTTCAGGGTGTGCCGTATGAAGAAAGATGCAGACAATTGGGTCTGTATACTCTAGCCTACCGCCGCGTGCGAGTGGACCTCATCATGACCCATCGGGTATTGCATCTGGGTGCTTATCCGATGCTGAGGCCACTGCTCCATGTCCGTGCGTCAAGCAGCACACAAGGTCACCAGTACAAACTGGTAGTCCCTGACCTCAAGTGGGTAGCTCATCCCTTGTGTCTTGAGCGGCGAGTGGTGAACATGTGGAACCGTTTGCCCTCGCGGATAGTAGAAGCGAACTCGGTGTCGGAATTCGAACGATTCCTGGACGCGCACTTTGCGGATGCCAGATTCGACGAAGCCTTCACAGGAAACTGACGAAGGAATCGTTCAATGATTATAACCCATGGAGCCCGTAATCCACCAACTGCAGCTTCCGAAACGATGCCCATCCGTAATAGGCGGCGGAGCTGGTGAAGGACTCCATGTGGTTCATCCAAGAATATATCGTAAGTACATGGAGATTTTTTCTATGCTCGTAAATATTTTACTTTTTTCACCTGGGCTAGCTCACTACTACAGGTAACACTGTGTCAGTGGGACATGTCCTACATTGAGATATAGCTACATAGATGTTCAACATCTTTCTCGCTATCATGACAGTAAAGTAAAGTATGGTGCACCTCTAGGGTCCAGCGATCACGCATGCATATCCTTTTGATGTGCTCTTTCAAAGTACCAAGAGACCGCTGTTGAATTACTTCCGAATATTTGGCGGGCGGACTTTAGTGCAATGCGAGCTAAGGCTTCAGTTCTGAACTGTGAGATCTCAATGACTGACTCCCTCCAGTTAGCCTGGGGTAAATTCAAAGCATACGGAGGTTTCCACTCACGAGGAAAAGAGGGTTAAGGGCACAGCCTCCCTGGATAGATACCGCAGGCAAGTACCTACTCAAGAAACGGTCTAGATGCTGGCGAACTTACCAAGCAGCTTCATCAGCCAGTACCTATGATAGTTATCGAGAGATTAGAAATACATGTAAGCACCATCTCAGAACTGTTAGTCTCCAGTACGAGTAGGGTTTAGCGGACTCGGCCGCAGCTAATCCCAAGAAGTTTTTTGCTTGCCTTAAAAGACGCAGCGTGGCAAAACTGTCTATACCAACGTTATTGCGAGCAGACGGGACCCGTGCGCAAACTGACTATGACAATGTTTGTATACTTAAAGATCAGTATACTGGGGTCTTTGCTCGGGAGACCTCTTTACCACATGCTGAGGTGGTTTCATGAGTTCCAGAGGATTCTTGCTTAGCTGAGTTTAGCATAACGGAGACTCAGGTCTTCGAGCTACTGCAAGGCATTAATCCCTCTAAAGCTTCCGGTCCTGATTCAGTTAATCCGAAGCTGTTGCATGAATTGGCCACTGAGCTGAGTGGTCCTCTCAAATGCGTGTTTTCAATATCGCTGGACAGCTGCATCCTACCTTCGGAATGGAAGGAGGCAATCATCTGTCCGATTTTTAAGGGCGGTGACAGCAATCTACCCACGAACTACCGGCCTGTCAGTTTGACAAGCGTAGTAGTCAAGATGTTTGAAAAGCCGATACGGGATTCAGTGGAGAACCACCTGAATAGATTCAACCTTCTCAGTGTTGCGCAACATGGATTCCGCAAGGGATTTTCATGACAGACTAAACTACTTGTAGCTCGTGGAAGCTGGGCCGAAGCGGTAGAGAGTGGCCACGCTGTAGACTTGCTATTCGTGGACTTTTCGTAAGCTTTTGACACTGTTCCACATCTTCAGCTCTCACTAAAGTTGAGATCTTACGGGATATCTAGTCGCGCCCTTCAATGGGTGTCTGCCTTCCTTGAGGGGAGGGAACTGCGTACGGGTGGGGCGTAGCTTTTCGCTCAGGCAAGCTGTCCTTAGTGGCATTCCGCGGGGCTCGGTATTGGGGCCATTGTTGTTCGCGATCAATGTAAATGACTTGCCGGGAGAGCTAGGGGTGTCATCACTAATGTTTGCTGACGACCTTAAGCTCTGGAATATTGTGGATATCCCGGCGGTCCTGAGGCAATTCAGCATGCCTTAGATAGGCTCTGGGAATGGTCTGCCTTATGGTTGATGCCCATAAATAGGGCCAAGTGCTGTGTTCTCCGAATCGGAGTTGCTAATCCTCCCACCCGATATGTTGTCGGCGGTGGTGAACTCCCTGTTGTCACTCAGCAGGTTGATTTAGGAGTCATACACGCATCAGGACTTTAATCTGGAGACAGTTGGAAGAAGACTGCTTGTCGGGGTTTTCGTATGATGTGGTTTATCCGCCGCTCTTTCGGAATCCTAACGGCCAATTGTGAAGCTTTTCTCGGCATCCGTCCGACCCCACCTGGAATATTGTATTCAGGCTTGTCCACCATGTCTTATCCGAGACAAAATGGACTTGGAGAAGGTGTTACGAGTGGGCACTCGGTTAGTGCAGGGTCTACGGTGATAGACGTACCCTGAACGCTTGCTCAGTTTGGGGATGTACTCAATGCACTACCGAAGGATAAGAGGGGACCTGATTCTCACTTGTCGTATTTTGATGGGTAAGATCGGCCCGGATTTGTCAGGGCTATTTAGTCCCGCTACGTTACCTAAGCTCCGCGGTCACCCGTTGAAACTACATAAACCATGGTCTGATAGGATTAGGACGGAAACTCGTCTGTCGCGCCGAGATATTGATCGCTGGAATTCGCTTCCAGATCACGTGGTTAGGGAACTTACGGTTAAGGGTTTTGTGCGCCAGCTCGATGCTCTTGGGTGGCAACAGCAAACCTTTCCTTTTTCATAACTGACTCACCTTCACTTTTCAGTTTTTTTAATGACTCAAATATCTTGGTATTCCACTTACTTAGCTCTTTCCACTTTTTCTTTTGCCTTCTAAGTTTACTTTTTTTCTCTTTCTTACTTCACGTAACCGGCGCAGCAGGGACTGCTAGGGCAGGATACGTGGGCATTAATTGGTTGGACAGGATGTGATGCGGTCTTTGTTTTAGGTCCATCAGTATTTCAAAGTTCGCCAACTCCTGGTTCAACGACCCGCCGAAGAAGGAACACTCACGGGATAATCCTGTCGTTCCAGTCCCGCTTGAACTTGAACTTGACTCCCGTTTGGAATGCAGCAGTCATAGAGGGATCAGTCTGATTTCGATCGCCTCTAAATTCCTTGCCCCTGTCATTCTCCACAGACTGACTGGACCGGAACGATGTCCATCCGTTACTGGGGACTCAGCGGGCGTACCACTCTTTTACTTTTCTTGTCTTGTATTGCGGCACAATAGCTAAGGTGTTTTCCACTTCCAGCTAACGTGTAATGATGATGATGATGATGAACTTGAACTTGTCTTTGGCGCTTATTGGTACTGTTTCTGGTTTTTCCCAGTTTTAATCCCGTTTTTCACCAAGTTTTTGCCTTTTTATTGAGGTCGTTTAACTAGTGTATACGTTATAATTCCACTCTGTTTTCCACTATGTCGGTCTCGCAATGCACCGAGGCTATTGTTCCTGGTGTCTTGGGTTCTGAGACTATCGCACTTTGTGGCAGTTCAAGGTGCAGTCTGCTAGTAACTGACGATTCAGGCGGTATGCAGTGTGATGTCTGCAACCGATGGTACCACCAGCTTTACACTGACCTGAATACCGAATAGTACTCAGCGCTGGCCTCCAGCGAGAAATTGCTTTTCAGTTGTGCCCGTTGCTGCAGCCGCCGGCAAGGTCGCACGGCCTTTCGTACGAAAGACGAATCTCCTGATACCCGGCTGAGAAATGTAAAGCGTTCATTCTCGATGCTCACAAATCTTCGCCTTAAGATTGATCTGCTCATGACGAGGCTTCCGGTCTCCAACAACCCAAATTTGATCGCTTACACTGGAGATCAATTTGTGGCACCAATCATTATGTCACCCGTCCAGATGGCTGGTGACCACGAAAATGAAGCTGCTTCGGACGTCGTATCCAAAGCTACCCTGATTGACGCCGAATTGCTGGTTAAAGATTCCCTTTGCGTAAAGAGAAAAAGCCAGGAAACCCCGTATGCTCTGTGCTAAGCAAGAAGTTGTAGTTGTCTCGGCACCGGAGACAAGCCAAGTGTCGTTACTTAACAAACCGTGTGACGGTTGTACGATGGCGAAGGTTCCCACACGCACTACTTGTCAGTCGAAGCTGCCGGATATCTCAGCTCTCACCGAGAAGGCACGTTCTGACGGTTTGCTTGACTCTTCTCAAAGCGACAAAGCGTCACAGGACCCTGCTCCTGTTATCAAGAAGTAAAAGCAGAGCAGATCTGCCATAAAACCTTTCGGATGGATTGCCGAACTGCCTTCTCGTGTTGCCAGTTTGGTGATTAAGGTGTACCCCGTTCCAGCAAAGTGTTCGGCGACAATGTTCCACCTCCGTGGGAGCATTGTATTCCAGCAATTGTGCTGACTTCATGGGGAGTATTGGAACCGTTTGTTAATCTACCAAACAAAGACGCATGGAATTAACATTCAGTCAACGCCTCCTAATGGGCGCGATTCTCCGAATTCGCCCCGCTGCCTTGCGGGTAGGTTAGTCAAAGGCTCGGGGTGGAGTCCCCTAAGTCAACTCGCTACTTCGGCTTGGGCGACCGGGTAGTATCACGCCCTCTTACAAAACCATGAACTGTATTACAACGTGCTCCTCAGCTACTGTTTCTGCTAGTCACTTTCACGCGCCAATTGTTTGTTTGCTGACAATCCTCGCTTTCCGTTACCTGATTCATGTGTACAACAATCTGGCTGCGATTCCGGTTGCGCCGCAG